TTTTGTAGATTACATTTCCACATAATGTTCTTTATTATAAATTTTCTTCTCACAATTACTTCCTGTTGATTTAGCGAGTCTCATTTAAAAGTTTCGTTTACTTTCATCCTATGGAGAATCAATGGAGGCCAAGGAAATAAGCCAGTATTATCGTAGTGATGTGCTTTTATGAGCTTGTACTAACTATGGATTTTAATCTACTAACGTGTAAAAGGCATGTACTTTTTTTGCATTCAAGGTTGTGAAGGTGGCAGATTTTGGAGTTGCACGATACCAGAGTCAAGGAGTAATGACAGCAGAAACTGGAACATACAGATGGATGGCACCTGAGGTGATAATCTGTCGGAGGATATTGGCAAATTACCATGCCACTTGCTTAATTTCCTAATTTATAGTATTAGCAGCATTTCAATTTGACTTCAATCTTTTTGCTTTGATTTTACTTTTCACCTCAAGGTAATAAATCATCTGCCATATGATCAGAAAGCAGATATTTTCAGTTTTGCGATTGTGCTTTGGGAACTAGTAACAGCAAAGGTACATCTCAAGTTGACTACAATATTACATTTCCTTATTTATTTATATATATATTTTTTGCTTGCTTGTATTTTAGGGCTGCTAGTACTGTGCAATATTGTATATAAGATGATAACATATCTTTATCATTTTTTTGTTGATCGCTTAATAGTTATTGGACAATTACTCCATGCTTTTGATTATTCTTTTAACCAAAGCTTTTGGTATCTCAGGTTCCGTATGATTCCATGACACCATTACAAGCCGCCCTTGGAGTAAGACAGGTTTGTGTATGTCCTAATTTTTTGTGCATTACTTATTTTTTTGAGCTTCCATTGAGAAAAATAAGAAAAAGGAAAAAGAAAACTCCAGCCCAACAAAAAAATGAGACTCCAAGAAACTACAAAAAAGAACTACAATCCAACAAAATCAAACCAAAGGTAGTCATAGTTACAAAAAGGCTTAGTGACACATGTCAATGTTGAACCTCAACACCTCCCAAACCTCATCACACGACCTCTCATCTCTCTAGCAATCATATTGTTTCCATAAAATAAGAAGCTAGCTTGCCCCAATAAATTGCCTGAAAAGGCCAACTGAGCATCTCCTCAAATAATAGTTTAGCCATTGTCATTCCAAGCTAGAAAAGAAGACTCATTTCTTTCTTCCCTTCTATAGAGCACCTATGTACCAATGATAAATGGGGAAATTTGACGTAGCTGCTGTATGCATCTCAGTTTGATTAAAATAAAAAAAAGAGGGAAAAAAAGTCATGCCTATTATACATAAATGGGGAATTAGAAACGTACCAAACTAAACAGAAGATTCAATTTACAGTTTGTGAAAGGAAAGATGGGGGCAATCGAAGAAGGTTGCTGTTTAATATAAAGAACAACATCAAAATAAATAGGATGATTTAGAAGAATGCTCCGGTTGCTGTATTATTTCCCCTTTAGCGACTTGGCAGAATACAGAATTCTAGGCTTAGACTTCATAATCTGTTTTCAGGGACTGCGTCCAGATCTTCCCAAAAATGCTCACCCCAAATTGTTGGATTTGATGCGACGATGTTGGGATGCAGAACCTGAAAATCGGCCTCCATTTACTGAGATAAAAGTTGAACTTGAAAATCTGCTCGAAGAAGTTCAGGTATACCTCCTCCCTCTTGTCTTTACAGCCTCATGCACAATACACAACATGATACCCTTCTAACTTTCTGATCCCATGTGTACTTAGATGTGTACAAAATATGAAGAAAATTATGCAGCAGTTAATGGCAGCTAATGTAGCTGTAGAAGTTCAGGGCTTTATCCTGTATTTTCCGTGAGGTATTTATTTTGTTTACCACTTCTGGTTCTTCATATAGTTACACAAATATTGTACATCTGGGAGAGAAAGAAGTATAGAGGCGGCGCAGTGCAAAAAGAGAAAAGAAAAAGCATGTTCTCATTACAAAAATACTTGTTGCCACGAGGATGTTTTCAGTAAATATAGTAAAATTATCTGTTTTTAGCCTTTCAAGTTGTTCAGTGGCCCATAGGTGCATATACATTCTTGGTTCTCCCCACTTATTTAGAGGCTATACCATACATTATAGAAAATTGGCAGCCTTATATCAGCTTGCCAAAAACTTACAATTATTATCAGGTAATTGGATTCTTTCTGATTTCTTTTTGTTCTTGTAAGGAACTTTAATCTCGTGTTTGTTTTGGAAAACTATTCACCAATTTGTGTAAAAGGAATTTTCTTTATTGAAAGGAAGAGCAGGGAAAAGTAGTAGATAGTTTCCAAATTGGATCACATTCTTGCCTTTGAAGCAAAGATGATTAAGAACTGAAGACTTTCGGCAACTTTATTCAAATTTTGCTGTTTTAGTCGATCAAGCTTTAGGTTATTGTTGCAGCCATATTAAAATAGAAATGATTCCCAAGACAATATCTGCACATTGCAAGGGAAATGAGCAAGATTTATATGACTATGATTAGTCTTCTGGAAACCCAAAGAGAAATCCACCAAGCTTCTCTTTGAAAATATGATTAGCCTAATTGGTCTGTTGCAGCCTTGTTTGTGCAAGCTTCTCTTTGAATTTAAAGATAATTAAAGTTTATGTTCTTCCTCTTCCCCAAGAAAGCAAACTCCAATACCATTAAAATAGTTTGAATATACGTCTGCTTTTGTGTACCGTTTAAGTCTATTGTTAGCATATATTATCCTTTTTAGGCTTTTCTGTTCGGAGTTCTCCTCAAGGATTAAAACGCATCTGCTAGGGAGAGATTTTCTACACCTTTAGAAAAGATGTTTCATTCCCATTCTTGACCAATGATAGTAGAGTCATGTTGTACGTTCACTTGTGTCAATAAAAATAAACAAAAAATATATAACTCTATTTGAGATTCATAGGAAACAATCAAAGATTAGTATTTCGAAATTTTTCTAATGTCTAGTCGATCTTTTGAAAATCCTAAAATGTAAAATTAGCATCTCGAAGTTTTCTCTTTTCTCAAATGTCTACCTCGATCTTTCGATAACCCTAAAAGTAAAATCACCTAAAAGATAACAACTTTTTCTTAATTTTGCAAAATGATTCTGCAACGCGTTTTTGCCATTGTTCTTGATATAATCAAATCCCACTTGGATTCTTGTTGTTTGTTTCATAGCAACAACTGTCTTCCCTTTTTTCCTATTCTTCTCTATTCTCAAATGGACAAAGTGAGGTTTGATGTATGCATGTGAACCTAACCCCACTTTTCAACCATACTCCCATCAATGTATACGATCACGAAGGTTTAACATTCAAAATTTGTTGTTGTTATTTAATCTACATTTATGTATTTCCTATGAGATAATATACAATTGAAAAAAAAAAAAAAAGGGAAATTCTTTTAACTATTAAGTAAAATTTGTTTAAGATAAAAATATTCTAGAAAACGACCCGATCAGCTCAATTAAACCCATCCGATTGAGTTGAATTATAACTTATTTAGTTGGGTTGGATTCAAATAAATGATTTTTTTTTATTATTTATTTTCTAATTAGAATATAATTTTTCAAAACACTCTATTCTAAATAAAAATATATTTTACATATTAACATTTTAATTTTTCATAAAACAAAAAATTGAATTGAGTTCATTATTTAAGAAAATCCGTTTGAGTAAAAAGAAATTACAATCCGAGTAACTGGGCTAAGTACAACTCAATTCATAAACACGCGCACAATATACTAAATCGAAAACCCTCCAAGTAAACAACAATCCATATTTTAATTAGATGATCATATTTGTATTTGAGGATGTCGAAAGTTGCATAGATGTGTACCCATCATAGATTGTACAATTTGAGGAGTATTAAAAAAAGGGCGAAGCATAAAAGTTATTAAATACGACAATATTACTTTCTTGAAAACGTGTGGGGTTCGTAAAGTAAAATTCCTTTGCCATTTGTTTTGATATTATTCAAAAGCTTAAGAATCTTTTTTGGGACAAAAAGAAATTGTAAAGGATTCCATTCACATGCCATAATTAAATTACAATGCATTTTCCTCATATCATCAACTTATATTATAAAGTTTAGTGGATACATATTTTATATTATTCAACTTTCAATTTCAATTTTATGTTCTTAAGAAATACATTATCGTCCCACAATTACATTTGGAATGGAAATTATTTAAAATTTTGATCACAACTCAGTTTAAATCATCACCACATCGTCTCACGTATAAACTTTCATTAAATTTAAAATGTTTAAGAAAATAAAAATTAAAATAACTAATTAATTTATTCTAATTACTTTATATTTCGAATTAAAAAACGAATGCTAATATAAAGTCAAAAATGACCATTTAGCTTGAATGTTTGGCATAGAATAATCACCGACCCCAAAGTTGATAGCAATTATTGTGGATGGGGCCCTTTATGATTGGATTGACCATATAAAAATAAAAACAACCAACTTTCATTTATGTCGAAGGAAGGAGCATTTTGCTAACCTATTGACTTAGTTGTTGAGTAAGGGCTGGGGAAGGTACAACTATGCATACCTTTAAATGAATTTCGACCTTTGCTGAGTCACAGGCAACGTTTCGAAAAGCAAACACGAGTTAGGTGGTGTTATTATAGCAAGAGATAGGTCGATCTCTACTCCATTTTACAACTTTTTTTCAATTAAAGCCGACGACCGAACATTCAAACTAACACATAGTTCAATTAGGCTTCAAATTTTATACGCTTCTTGTAACGATGTATTAATCTATATTACTTCGACGATAATACCCTTAATCGTAATTTTTTAATAGAAGGAAATGGAACTCCATTTTACAACTTTTTTTCAATTAGAGCCGACGACGGAACATTCAAACTAACACATAGTTCAATTAGGCTTCAAATTTTATACACTTCTTGTAACGATGTATTAATCTATATTACTTTGACGATAATACCCTTGATCGTAATTTTTTAATAGAAGGAAATGGAAGTTTGGGAGGAGAAAAGTTGGAATGCATTTATTGAGATATATAAACATAAAAGAAAGCATAATAAGCTCTGATTTGAGCAAAAGAAGGTAGAGACAAAGACAACATGGGAATATGTCTTAGAAGGAAATACATTAATTAAAAAAAAACTACATTAATTATGATATCTGCGATGAAATAGAAACACCAAACTAAAATTCACACTATTCTTCAAATCTTTGAACGCACACTCTTATTTGACTTCCACATCTTAATAATATATTCTCATCTCGTCTTCCTGCACCAAAATAAAAAGAAATAAATAAAGAACAGTCCAAAATAGTGACGTTTCTATGTGGATTGAAAGTAACATGTTTTAATTTTGTGTTATTCACGTGGAAAAAAGACAATGAGATTTGGTGGGAGATTATTATGTTTTCCTTTTTGTAACTTGTTTGGTGGAAGAATTAAATTACCTTGGTATAAAGAGCGTTTAATTCCTAGTAGTGTGGAGGGGGTGGTGATGAGTAGTAATAGACGGGTGGCGGTGGAGAGTGGTACACCGGTGGCGGTGGAGAGTGGTACACTGGTGGTGGGTAGTATACCTTTTTCGGTGGTGGTGGAGAATGGTACACTGGAGGTGGGTAGTATACCTTCTTGGGTGGTGGTGGAGAATGGTACACGGGAGGTGGGTAGTATACCTTCTTGGGTGGTGGTGGTGAGTAGACTGGCGGTGGGTAGTATACCTTCTTCGGTGGTGGTGGAGAGTAGACGGGTGGTGGGTAGTATACCTTCTTTGGTGGTGGTGGAGAGTAGACGGGCGGTGGGTAGTATACCTTCTTAGGTGGTGGTGGAGAATGGTACACTGGAGGTGGGTAGTATACCTTCTTCGGTGGTGGTGGAGAATGGTACACGGGAGGTGGGTAGTATACCTTCTTTGGTGGTGGTGGAGAATGGTACACAGGAGGTGGGTAGTAAACCTTCTTTGGTGGTGGTGGAGAATGATACACGGGAGGTGGGTAGTAAACCTTCTTTGGTGGTGGTGGAGAATGATACACGGGAGGTGGGTAGTAAACCTTCTTTGGTGGTGGTGGAGAATGATACACGGGAGGTGGGTAGTATACCTTCTTGGGTGGTGGCGGAGAATGGTAGACGGGAGGTGGGTAATACACCTTCTTAGGTGGTGGTGGAGAGTGATAGACGGGAGGTGGATAGTACACCTTTTTCGGTGGTGGTGGGGATTTCACAGGTGGTGGATAGTACACCTTCTTAGGTGGTGGAGGAGAATGGTAAACAGGAGGTGGGTAGTACACCTTCTTCGGCGGTGGTGGAGAGTGGTAAACAGGAGGTGGGTAGTACACCTTCTTCGGCGGTGGTGGAGAGTGGTAAACAGGAGGTGGGTAGTACACCTTCTTCGGCGGTGGTGGAGATTTCACAGGTGGTGGATAATACACCTTCTTAGGAGGTGGCGGAGAGTGGTAAACCGGAGGTGGGTAGTAAGACTTCTTGGGAGGTGGTGGAGAATGGTATACCGGAGGCGGATAGTATACCTTCTTAGGCGGGGGAGGCGAGGCATAGACATAATTAGCATGGGTGGTAGATGGCAAGTTTAGGGAAAGGATAGCAAGAAAGGCACCAAAAAGGAGAGGAGCCCATGAAGATCCCATTTTTCCCATCCTTAGGAATGGATTGGTGGGTTTCCACAACGCCTCCCCTCCCCTTTATATAGCTTCGGCCTTTTACCCACTTTACTCACTCACTCACTCAAAGCTATGCTATGGTGAAAATTAAATTAATATTACACACACCTACTATATTGTCGGTAGACGACATAGGGTTATAATAATAATCATATGTTTGGACATATTATGAAACCCTCCACCAAGCTTCTACCATATAATATACGATTTTAGGCATTAAAGATGTGAGATTTGGCACTAATTATAGGACTCAACTTAGAATATTACACCAAATGTTAATTAAATTATGTCACTCTAAATCTCATGCATCATATTAAAATGATAGTGTGCAGTGTATGAAAGTGGGTGGGGTTGGATGAATTTAGGAAGGGTTGATGGGAGTGGGTCCCGGCGGCTTGACTTTTTCTTCCTCTAATTTTAAGATTGAATCAATGGCTGTGGTCCAATTTGTAGGGTTGCTTGCATGGCCTTGCCTTGTTTGACTCCACGTCTACTATTCAAACCTTGCTACTACTCATGTCTCTTTCTTTTCCCATTCCAAACCACTTCCAATTGTGTTCGTTTACGTGTTCGAGTACTATATAGTATATTGATATCGCTCGATAATTGTATTAGCTCTAGAGACTAAATCGATATATAATGTAACTATTCATGCCTTTACTTTTGCTCGTTACGTATCATGGTTTTAAAACGTGTCGATTACGGAGAGGTTTCCACATCCTTGTAAGGAAGATTTTGTTCCTTTCTCCAAAATGACTGCTTAGAAGTTTCCACACCCTTATAATAAAACTTTGTTCCTTCCTCCACACCCCTTGGGAACCCAGCATCTTTGTTTGCATACCACCCGGTGTTTAGCTCTGATACCATTTATAAGAGCCAAAACCTACTGCTAACAAATATTATTTACTTTGACCCGTTATGTATCGCTGTCAGGCTCACGATTTCAAAACGTGTCTACTAGAGAGAGGTTTCCACATTCTTATAAAGAATGTTTCATTTCCTTCTCCAACTAACGTGAGATCTCACGTATAATCTTTCGATTTTATGTTTTATAGATATATGTTTTAATTTTAGGTTTTGGGAATAGTCTAGATTTATCTAAAAATATTATTTTTGATGTGATGATTATGTTTTATATTTAAAAATTAATGTTTTTTTTTTTTTGGATATTTTGTAAAACTACTTTATTTCTAAAATATATATATATATATATATATATATATATATATATATATATATATATATATATATTAAAAACACCTTTTTTATCTTTTGGTTTGGTTGATTCCAACTACTCTCATCTTCCTACTTTTCTCCAATTTAATAAACTATAAACTTCAATTACTTATGGTACCCACATATTTTTCCTTTTTTTTTAATTCACAAATTAATGAATTTTAAACTAAATTAATAAAATGTCCCTAAATATTGTAATTTATCTAAATAAAATATTCTTAATTTTTTTAAAAAAAATTAAAAAATACACTTTTCATGAGTTACTAATGGAAATTATTAGTAATTTATTAAAAAAATATCCTTAAAATTTTATAGGGTTTCAAAATTACTTTTAAATTTTAAAAATTTGGTAGTTCATAAAAAAAAATTATAAATATATTTTTAATTTTTTAAAAAATATTTAAAAGATGTTTTTGAAATTTTTAAAAAATTTAAAGGTATTAATCAAATTTTTGAAAATTTAAAAACTTTTTAAAAATTTAAAGATATTTTTATTAATTTAATCCTGATTTTTTTCTTTCTTCTAAACTAATATGTCTACATACATTTAATAAGGAACCTAAATCATTATTATAAATAATATTGTTCAACCTTTCTAATCATATATTCGTTAGTTCTCACATTAATTTCATACTTTATTTTAAAGATTTTTTTAAAAAGTCCGAGTATAATTTGACCTTCATTTTATAGGATTACGTTAAATTTGTAATTAAACAATATAAAAATAAAATGTAATAAAAATGTTCTATAAGTATAATTCAAAATTTAGGGACATAAATAAAATATTTTAAAAATTTTAATTTAGACCAAACAAAGGCATATGATTTATAAATTTAATTTCTATATAATTAAAAAAATGTTTTAATATGAAAAGTTTAAATAATGAAATTAAATGAGATTAAAAAAATAAAGGTGGAATAAGAGGACAAAAATTCATAAATATTTTCTTGTGATTTATTCTCAATTAATTAATAATTATTTCCTAAGGAGTTGTTAGTCAATGGGTTCCCAATTGTTTTTTGTAACGTCAATATGAACATATGACATTTTTGACCTTTGGTACTATATAATATATATATATATATATATATATATATATATATCACTAATAATAATTAATTTATGGGGGAAATCCATAAAATAAAATAAATAAGAGGAATAAATAAAAGGAGTGGTTACAGAATTAGTGTCGAATTTTTTATTTTCAATATTATTGTCTGAAAATAGCTGTCAAATTATATTCTCTTACTTCCCCCAATTTCTTATCCAAAAATTAGGTCTAAATCTGACTCATCAGGGTCAATTTGGGTTTTAATAATATGTAAATCTAATTTCAATATTAAAATAATTAAACATGCCTCATATTCATAATCACTTGTATAATTTTTTATTAAAAAAAAAAAAAACAGATATTTTAGTATTTAAAATTTATTTATTCCAAGTCGAAGTATGCACACAAAACTACGATAAAAATTATTTTTACAGACCTATATAAGTCATTTCACCGTATTTTATTTTCACTCACATGTATCGAATATATATATATTGTTAAGGATATTTAGTAATAAATTATAGTTTACCATATATATTATATTTGATATTTTATTATAAGGCAAATATCTAATATTTGCCTTATTATCATAGGTATCTTTCCATTTATTATTATTTTCATATCTTTCTAATTTATTTGATTATAAATAAGATAACTTTCACACCATTTAGATGTGGTGGATTAATCAAATATTCACATATATATATATATATATATTTATCGGTAATAATTTTGAATCATGAATATATATATTAAAATAAGGTTTACTGAAATCCGCCTAACTTAATATTAAAAATATTTATTTATTTTTTAAAAAATTTCGCTGTTGACTTTATTTCACTCTTATCAGTTATCCAGCACATGTTTTTTTATTTTTTTATTTTTATGAAAGGTACTAAATATATTTTTATAAATAAAACATTTAAAATCTTAATTATTTAAATAACTCCAAGTTGTGGTGGCTGTCATGTTTTTAATGCCCATTTTCTTAAATCTTTAAGATTGAATTTGAAATTTTCATACATATTTTTTTACTTAAAATTAAAGGAATTTAATTTGTAATGATTTAATATTTTAAAATAATATTAGTTTTTACGTCATAATTATATTTTTTTAACACTAATTTAGAACCTAATTTTTATAATTAACCTTTTCTTAATATTTCTGGTTAGGCTGCTTTCTAATGAACAAGAATCTCAACCTTTTTTGCATCCTAGAGGACGTAGCTGGCACACAAAACAAAGGAAAGGGGGGTTCGGGGTCGGCACATGGTCAACGGTTTGGTTCGATTTATTTAGATTCTTATAATACGCGTTAACTAAAAGAAACTAAACAAGAAAATCTTGATTACCCCACTTTTAAATATCGAACAACAATCAAATATACCATAAACATCAAACCACATATCGATCCATCCTTTTCAAATTTCTCAAATTTTCTTCGAACCCTATTGCAAGAGTCTCGTATACCAATCTAAACCCATAACCAGAGTATAACGATCTATGCTCAAGATTTGAATTTGACACTTGATGGTCTCAGTATTCTCCTACGACATGGTCACATTATCTACTCATTGTTTGTTAAGAGTGAAGACTATCCTCAGAGACCAACTTGAGTCCTTCCAATATTGTTTTATCCTCACTCACATGCATCCTACGAAAATTCTTAGAAAATCACCCAACACAAAATTGCTTCAAGTAAAGCACGTTTAACCATAGAGTTTTATGATTGACCCATCGAAAAAGAACGTGCACCTTGTTAGTATAGATAATGACTTTCAATCCTATCATCAAGATCCCACTATATGATATCAGTTTATTCATGTATTTCTCCTTTAGATTTAAGCCCATGAACCGACAGATACAACATACAAATTTGCGGGTAAGGTGACAAAACTTTAGACGGTCACGACGTTTCTAATCATCAATTTTGTATTCTATATATTTAAAACCATGTCTCTACAAACTTTTAATATGGGTGGACAGGTGGCAACGATTGATGGGTCCTTTTTGTTAGTAGTAAAAGTTAGAACATTAATGTAATGAATTATTTGCGATGTTCATAAGTCATGGGTTTGATTTTGTGTATTAAAACGAATTGAAATGATTGAAAAGATGTAAACATTATGATGGAATTTAATATATGAATATTGGGTTGGTATATGCCATTCAAGATTCCTGTCCGAGATATAATATTTGGAGTATATATCTTAAATATTATATTTTAATATTTTTTTCAATATATTTTATTTTATTTTTAATATTTAATTAGTTTATATTTTACTTATTGGATAGGTATTAGTTGTTAGCTTGTATCCTATTTAATCACGTTTATTTGGATATCTAGAATCATTCAGATGGCCTCTTTATTTATTAATACTTTCTACGAAATTAAAATAAAATTAGAATAATTTTTGCTAAATATTTATATAACTCAACAAATTTGTGGTCAAAATTGATTTTTTTTTTTTCGATTTAATATTAATAATGATTTTAAAGATAAGGTTGATTTGAAAATACATGTTAAAGAAATGGAGTGTAAAGAAATTAGGTAGGAAAGATAAAATTTAATAAAATTTTAAAACACACGATGGGATTAAAGTAATGGAATTGTCATATTTTCAACATTAATTTAATGTAAAGTGAAGAGCGTTGAACGAGTCTTGTATTGTTTGGTGAAGTGAAATAGCCGAAGAAAATGAGAAGGCTTTAGAAAACAACATT